GGGGGGGGGGGGGGGGGGGGGGGGGGAGTAAAAGGTGGGGAAGAAGGAAGCACGGACAGTGATTGGGTGAAGCCACAGGACCTGCCGCCGTGCCCGGACACTCTCATTACTGCTGCAATTAGCACTTCAATTGGAGCTGTAAACCCCGTCTATGGAGCTGTAATTGGGGATCCTGGAACTATCTGGGACCACAGTGGCAAGACTGCTTAGGGCACATCACTGATAATGGTGTGTGTGAGACACTGTGCCATCCACATGTGCTAAATGTGGAATTAGATCCATTTTGAAGATCATATTTAAGTCCTTGCAGTTGTGTTGTTTTTGTTATTTCTGTTCTCCAAAGTACATATTCTGATGATGTTGTGCTCTTGGTGTGATAATATTTGGAATCTTACCTGGGCAATCTCACTTGATTGAAGCTCTTGACCGACGATAGCAGCGAAAACACTTTCCTTTCCATTGCACGCAGCAATCAGTTCTGGAAGTCCTTCGATTGGCAAGTAGAAGCCTCCCACGTTGCTCCTCCCCTTCCTGTTTGACCATTTCCTATGGAGTCAGAGAGGGAGACTTCACAACAAACCCTACCCCTGCTTCCTGTTCTCTCTCACCACAGGGACTTAGAGGCCTTCCTTTCTCATCCTTCTCTTTCCATTTCTATTGAGTTTGAACTAAATTATTCCACACTGTATGGTGTGACTTGAACATTAACTCACAAGGTCCTTTATGTTGATGTTTATGCGCTTGAGAAACTTTTAATCAGAAAAACAATACGGAGTCCTGTTTGTTGTTACTGTTTTTCTGGGGACCCACTTTTAAAAAATGACAAACCACCAGAGCACCTCATCTATAAATCGTGCGTAATGAATGTTCCTGACCATTTCACTTGCCATTTCCACATCACCTTACATTCAATGGAATAGGTCAACCAGCTATTTCTAAGAGATATACATTATTTAGTTTTATGCATGTGTCATTCAAATAATATACACATGATAAATACTTGGAATGAGACCAAATCAATGCATTTGGGCAGAGATAACAGACTTGTTTTTTTTAAACAAACAGAATGTACCACAGCCTTTTATATCAGTTTCTATGTTAGAAGTACAATTATCAGAACCACACAAACAGTCAGGCTCTCTCATGTGGCCCAGATGTGTACTACAGATATACATGTTCAATAAAAGACCATAGAAGACATTTAGCATTTGACAAGCCTGATCATCTCTGTGACTGCTTTAGACGGCAGGTGAAGAAGCTGTTCAGACATTAATGGAACACGAGGAGACGTAACGTTCACTGACTGTCAGCACGGCTGGGAAAACAACGAGGGTAGATCTACTGCCTACGAATCATCGTACATGGCTTCTAGCTGCACCGGTGGTGAGGTGATGTGTACCTGAACAGATAGAGGTGTTGTTGTTCAACATGTGGTAGAGTCAGTAATGACGAGTCGTGCAGCCAGCGGCCCTGGACGATCATCTGCAACAGGTTGCAGATACTGATGGCCGTGACGAGCCAGCCTTCGTTGGCAGCTACGTCCAGCATTGCCTGAGGAGAACAAAGGACTTATTATGATAGACAATCATCTTTTTGATGACATCTCAAGCTAAGTCACCGAGCAGGGTTTCAACTGACAGCAGGTTTTGTTACGTAAAGCTTTGGGCTTTTCTTTTTCCCAGATGTAATTTCTCAATACATTTTGCTCTTTCACTCTCCGACTGTGACAATCATCTGAGTTCACGTGTTGCAATTAGATACGCAATGCTGAAGAGACAGAGTGTAGCCAATGTGAGGCTAGCTGCTGGTCATGGATGATATGGGGCCAACCTGAGACCTACTGTCAGTCCGTCAGACATTCACTTTATGTACACTGAAAACATCAATAAAAAATATACATTTGTTCAATAAAAAACACCAGAAAGAAACCAGAATCATTTGAGTAAACGGTAGCAGCAGGACACCAGAAAAGTAACCACATCCATGAGCCATGCAATAGATGTGCCAGATACACAGCATGGAAAATCACAAGCACATGTGCGCGCGCACACACACACACACACACACACACACACACACACACACACACACACACACACACACCCACACCCTGAGCTGTGGACAATGGTTTACAGATGTTAAGACATGGTCCTAACTTCAAACAGTACACACAACAAACCTACATAAACAAACCTGAGATACAAAGTACAGTTTGAAGTTGTAGGAATGTTATTATGTTCTGACTCTGGTAAGCTGACCAGGTGCTAAGTATTCTGTTGTTTAAAACCTTGAGTCCGACCTCTTGTGGGTGTCAGATCTAACCTGTGAGCATCATGATATTTATGAGATGGATCAGCTAGTTCAGCAACAAATCACCTGCTAATGCTGAACATTCCCCTTCTTCTGCTTCATGTACAGCACAGCACCGTGCTCTCTCCTCATGTGCAGTACATAACTCAGATCTATGAGCTGTGTTTCCCTCATATTGCTATCATTCATTCATTTCAACAAGTTAGTGTTTATGCTTCTAAACTTTTATTATTCTGATAAAACACTGTAGTTCTGAATGTACATTGGAACTTTTATGACACCAGGAGACTTAATCCATAGTCATATCAATGTGTTTAAGAAAGAACTAGTTCTACTGTGTGAACAATGCATTCCGCCACACGCTTCATCAGGTTAGCCAGTGTTTGTATGATTCTTCCTACGATCACAACCTGGGAAGGGATTCTTGTGAAAGATCCTACTGAGTAAAACTTCTAATGACCATGGAAATGCTCCACACAAGTAGTGGGCAGCATTTCACCTCTACAACTGGGTCCACACAATCTAAATGTACAATCATCAGTTATGAATGCAAAGAAACGGCAACTAACAAACAGCAAGGCAAAAAAGGCCGAATTCAATTAAACTGCCCAAATTCAGACCGCTAAACGTGTACGCTCTGATACTTTCTTTATTGGATCCAAAGTTGCAAAAAAACGATTCATATTTTCGCTTCATCGCCAGGAAACTACAACGCCGGGAGGAGAGGAGTGGCAGCAGCCATTCAGTTAGCGGTTAACTGCAGCAACGCCAATTCAGCCAGCGCAAACCCCCGTCTATGTCAGGGCTGCAAGAAAAGGTGTGCTGATCCGGTGGGGAGTGCCCCGGGATCAAACTCCCGGCACTGGGGTTTGTGCTGGAAGGCTCATTTCAGTAGATATCTCTACAACACAATACATAGCAATTGTGACATGCTGTCAGCACGGTAACCTCTTCACATTCACATTTTAAACTCAAACTCTGTCCAAATCTTACAGATTTAACAAATATTATTACTACCAGTATCAAGAATTAATAAGAAAACTAATCTAAAGAGTCTAATCAAAATCACTATATATGTATTTGACAAATTGGAATAACATGTGTAGCCTACATACTTGCATTGAATACGAGCTGGGAGTCTCAGGCTCTGTCCCTGCTCACATTCGACCTCAAGCACCACACACAGAGGGTCACTTGGAGAGAAACCTTGGAGCCACACTATTGGTGTCCCTCAGGGTTCTGTTCTGGGCACATGCCATCCGACCTCTGCAGCTCATCCTGAATGCAACGGTCCTCCATCTACACAAGTTCTCCAGCTCTACACCGCTCCTCTGCCCCTTGGGCTGGCTCCGGGTGGCTGCTCCAGTGCGATTCTAAACACTGGTACTTGCCTACATTTGTGAATCCAGGTCAGAACATGGTCAAACCGTCCACCCAGCCCGTCCACTGCGCTCTGCTCCAGCCAATTAGCTTGCTGTTCCCTCACTACGACGGAGCGGCTACTGCTATACCAAGTCTCAACTGTTTGCTGTGCTAGTTTCACAATGGCGGAATGAACTCCCCATTGACATCAGGACAGCAGAAACAATACACATCTTCTATCAGAGACTGAGAACTCATTTGTTCAGACTAAACCTTGCCCCACAAAAAAACCCAAACTCGTTCTTTCAACCTTGTTGTCTCTAAACAAGCACTTGAAGCACTTCATGTACTTGCATGATTCTTGTAATTTTGTGTTGTATCCACATAGTTGAGTGCACATCTTGGAAGTCGCTTTGGATAAAGTGTCAGCTAAATGAATATATTGTTATCACATTGGTAATTTGTTGCAGTATCAGCTGCCCAGTGAATCCTACCTGACAGATTCGGATGGTGTTGTCCAGTACTGTCTTGGTATCGGTGGTGTAGTCGCTGCAGGGCAGCGGGGTGTGGCTGAAGTGGGCCTGCAGCAGCAGATGGGTCTTGGTGTGGGCGCTGTCGTATGAGTGGGGGTTGACCTGCAGGGGGAGCTGCTGAGACAGCTGACTGTTCAGCTGGTCCTCATTGTGTCTGACGGGCAGCTCGGCATACTCCTCTGCATCCTGTGGGACAGAGATCCAAAGTTAAACAGGAAGTCTAAAGCCTGTTGTGGAATTACAGGGTTAACGCTCTTTTCTAGAGATCATTTTCAAGGATATTTTCAGTGATGATCCGTGCTCCTCTCTGGATTTGAAAGAGGTTGAGGTTCTTGGTTATGCCATGTGCATCCAACCTGCATGTGCCACCATGTGACGTGACTTGGGGGTTCACAGTGTTCCATAACATAACCGAGAGCAGCCAAATCAAAGCAGAGGTCAAATTCCATATATGTACCTAATGTAAATGACATTTGTAATAAAGTTTACATTTTTAAAACACTCGGGCCCATAAACTGCCATTTGAATGTTAATATGATCCTGAACAGAACGTAACTCTCTCAGATGCCAGTGTTAGATAGCCTCGTAGTTCATTCTAAAGGGAAATAGGAGAATGTTGAAATCCTTTTCCAGGACAACCCAACATTTTACAGCTGCATTTACCTCCCTACTCTTCTGGTTTGGAAAACCAACTGTTCCCCTTCCCACAGAGGAATCTTTTTACCAGACCCGATGACCGAAAGATCCAGGACACCTGCTTTTAAAAATCTACCAAACTTTTTGAAGGGAGTTTCTGAGAATGCTAAAGATTGAATCATAAAGACTGCACTGGGTCACTGGATGATGGAATTGATAATGATGGTCCATCCATCTCCTCTCTGTGCTGAGGCTGTGTGTTGTGCCTTGTTTGTGGCTGGGATACGGAGAGATGCGTGGACACGCATGGCTCCTCTCCGCTAATTCACTTCAGTTCAACTTCGGCTAATGTAGCCCCATCAACATGCTGTGCTGGAGGCATTTGTCATAGCTTCCCCCTGGCCTGGACTGTTAAGGCTCCATCCATCACTGACTGAAGCCGGTGTTTCAAAAGCTAGGGCCTGAAAATGGACCTGAGCTGGGCGGGGGCTGGGATGAGGGATAGGAGTAGTGATTTATCTTTCAGTGCCATTGTGTCTGCATATGGATGTGGTGGAGATAGAGACTATAGATCTTTAAGCAGACATCATCAACGACTACTCCACACCCGCTCATAGTAGCGTTCACAGGAACAGAGTGGGAGAACACAGAAAGAGGGGAGGGATACACAGCTGAGACAAGATGTGGGGGTCAGGTCCACAGATCAACTGCTATAAACACATTATTATAACTTTTACAAAATGATGTGATAAAGAAAAGACACAGACTTTGTCAACTGGCTTGCTGTTCAAAGTAGTTCAATTACTGAACGCTGCCACTTGTGTTGTCTGCATCCTGCAGTTTATCCAAAATATCACACATTGAATTGTTTGTTGGGTTTGATATTACAACGAGGCTCTTCTTTTCATTGTCGCACTCTGTTGAGAACACGACAATATCACTAGATCTGAGTCCAAGAGAGAAGAAGTCAGATGAGCTGACGAGATGTAAACCAGCAGACAGTTCATCCAGATTATAAAACACTTCATTTGGAGGGAGAGCTGAGAGTGAGTGCACCGGTAATGAATGTAATAATACCTCATCGCAATAGATCCTAGCCAACATGTGATTCATTACGTCTGAATGTCTCGACAAACAGAGCCATTCAGAGGCAGGATCAACAACTTCCTGTGCCAGAGCCAGAAAAACAGCAAATATAAAATGGCCATAAAAAATGACAGTAAGAGTTGATGAGATGGAAGCAGCTGTACAGAAAGAACTGTCTATAAATCGGCTTATATCTTCACTTGACGTGGCAAATATTAAGCTAAACCAAATTACAATTTTGTGACTGACTACAGCAAGTAAGGGAGGTCAAAGTTCAAGCAGTAAGGAGGTTTGTAACGATGTCTACAAAGGGTAGTATGGGTAATAATGGCAACATTCCCATTTGTTTTCTCCTCTAAATCACTGAAAGGATTTGTTTCCAACATGTCTGATAATCTGGTGCTATTAGCGTATTAGTATTACAGATACATGTAGCAATGGCAGGATTCTATGAGATGCCTCTTAGCTCTTTCACAGTTATTTTTCTACGAGTCACCATCATATCAGGTTTTCCTCATGGACATGGTGTGTACATCTTTAGAAGACAACACGTTTCATAAACCTTATGTTTGATGCAGTTCGTCTTGGGAAGCAGAGGACAAACACAGCAGGAAAGAAAACAGAGACAAAGACGGGCTGAGTGGCAGCGCAGTGCTCGGAGAGGAAAATAAGTGTGTGAGGACGGGGTGGGGGTGGGAGGTGGTGGTGCAAAGAGGTGTGGGTGTTGCTCATTAGTGGCCACACTGCAACAATCTGGGGGAACTGGAGGAGCATGCCACTGCTTTGTAGCTAACAGAGGGGGAGTGGAAAGGATGGCGGGGTGACTGGCCTATTATATCGCAGCCTGTTGGGGAGGGAGGCGGCTAAGCATGGCATGCTTTGGTCTGCTTCCAACTACATGTGTGCAGAGGAGAGTGATGAGGAGCCTCCCCACCATGTGTTAGCATCATTATTGAAATCAGGTTCAACCACTGAGCTCACTGACTGGACTTGCAGCTGAACTAACGCAGTCTTGAAATTCCTACAACAGGAAACATTCTATTTTTCCCACATGCAATCCAAACATCAATGTATTAACTTACAAGTACTGTGAGTGTATCAAAGCCTGATGTATCTTCTTCCTCTGGCCCATAGAGCTCCATTGCTGTCCAAAAACTATTAACGCCGTCCAAAGCATAGGCTCAACTTGCTTCTGGTTCTATTTCACAGAGCAACCCCTCAAGGTAGGCGGGATGCTTAGCTGATGGTCACAGCGCCGCTGCGTGACCGTGTCTCCAACGTGTTCTCTCACCGGATCCTTTCATCACCAACCAAACTGAGGAAAGTCTGACCACGGCCTGGTTATGAACTTATTATTAATAGAACTATTGGAAAGGGTTTGAGTTGGTGAGTATGAATGTTATGGATGTGTAATGATGTATTTTCTGAGGATTGAAGTATAAATACAAATGTAGTATTTACTGTCGCAATACAGTAGCTACTGGGGATCTAAATAAGCAAGCAAACAAACCAGGTATTATCAAAGAAACCCAGTTCCAAGCGAGTCGAGTCAAGGCGTACCATGTAGTGGGAATGCAGCATTACTTGAGCACCAAATGTGTATGAACCTGATGAAAATAGTCCTAATGCACATTTTCCTCCTGTTTGAGTAATGTTTCCTAAAAACTACATTATTACTGAGCCTTGAAAAGATGCTAAAGGAAGGTGCAGTGTTTCCTATGCTAAAGGAGCTAATGAAGGAAGCATTGAAGCACCTTTCCTTAGCATTCAAGATGTCTAACAGCTCTTATGGCGGCCTCTTAGATACTTTATGTCGTTTCACTCAGAACCTTCCTAAGCAAAGAGGACTATTGGACCTCAGCCCTGGGGACAGATGATCAAGGAATACATGTGGCATCAATTCCTTTCATATGACTGCAGGAGTTTGTTAGACAAATAGAAGTTCCTGGAACAAATGATCTTTTGTTCCTTGGCCTAATTTTATACAAAGTAATATTCAATTCCTTATTTAATTCTTTTTTTTAAGATATCTTGCCCATCAGACATTACCTTCTTAACTAACTAATTATTAAGTGTCAGTCTCTTGAACAATGCACTTAAACCAAAATATTAGGGCGACATACCACACCACAGCTGCAGAATAGTAGAGTTAATGAAGCTCAGACAAAGGTGCTAATTTGATAGGAGGAGTAAAGTGTAAATCTCTTATTCCAATAAGGTGTGTCTTCTGTCCTATCACAGAGTCTCAGTGGTATTCTAAAAAGCTGTATCACACGTCTTTCAAACAGCAGCCTTTATGTAAAAACCTCCTGCTGACAAATACTGAAAGCAGGGATGCAATGCTACACTAAACAGAAAGAGTATTGCACTAAAGATAAGTGTAGTCTTACTTTTCTGTTGCTTTTACAATTCATGTTTTTTTGTGTATGGAAACTGAATTGGAAAACAGTATGTGAGAGACAGAACTCTTTGATTGACTTTCACTTGGAACAAACACACCTGTGCATGGACAAAGTTCAATGATTTCTCATGGCATGAGAGAAATGTGCAACCCGTACTGTGTACACAAAGGTACAGTGCATGGAGCTGTGAGTGCTAAAATAATTGGATGTATTGATTAGAAATCAAGGCAGGCTCTTACAAGCGGATCAGGTTCTGTCCTGGTCTAGAATCAGGTTGCAGAGCATTTGTGTATGTCCTCCTGCACTGTAGGCGGACATACGTATATTGTATTCTTCGTTGTTCATCATGCAAACAAACCACATACATATCAGCTGTGAGCTCCACATCAGACTGGAGACGTGAGCCCTTAAGAGATGGGTGACTTCTACTTGCTATCTTTCTACGTTTAAACAGAAAACACGTTTTACATTGTGATATTCAATAGAAATGACATACAACATAGCCAACAGAAAGCAGGAAACTTTCAAGCGATCTCCCTCCAGTCAACTGCCCCCTTATTTAGGTCTCTGTAGTGAAATGAGGAGGTATCGTAGGTATCCAGAGATCCTCATTTCTTGTCTATTGTGAGCTTTAGAAGTGAGTAACAGCAATAAACAGAAACAGGGCGTCCAACAAAAGTTCATAGAAAAGGATGGAATCCAGCCCATTAGCTTGCGTCGCATTCAGACTCTGTGTCATGGACATAATGCAAAAACATCCCTGGGATCATTTCTATCACTGGCCTGAGAAGACAATAAAGTCTTGACTTAGCCAGTAGCCTACAAGGTCCCAATCTAGAATCTTGAATATTTATGCATTTTATTTACCAGCACTTTTAACCATAGCAAGAGAGCAAATGCTTTTATAACAGCTCCAACAACACACGGCACAAGATTTACATTAAAAACCTCAACAGACCTCTCTATGTAACTGCACACACACACACACACACACACACACACACACACACACACACACACCTCTAACAGAGGGCATATGTGTGAATTGATAAGAAAACATCGTAAGTGGTGACATAACAACCACAGCCGTATGTTGGCAGTGTGAAGCTCACCGTCAGGACGGAGAGCAGCTCATGGATGGGCAGCTCCGCCTTCAGTCGCTCTTTAAAGGTGCCAATGGTCTGATGCCTCAGGTAGTAATAGGAGGCGATGCGACCGTAGGTCAGTGGCTCAATGGTCCGATTATCCTGGAGCATTAATGGAACAATTTGACAAACCACAACCAGATCCCATGTTAAACAGCTTTGTGTCATTTCACAGACTATAAAATAACATGAAAATACTACACTCACTCACCTCCTTTATCTCTATGCAGAAAGAGCATTCCAGCTCCCGCAGGCTTTTCTCCACCAGGTTGGACAGGTACTTGTTAACGGACTCGTGGCTGATGTCTTCTAGGCTGTAATAACTAAACACAGGACAAAGGAGTGCGATTACAAAACACACAGCAATGACTTTGTGTAAAAACACAGAAGAAATTCTGTGTTTTCGTTCTGTTGAACAGAGAACTTGTGTTGTTTAACATGCTTCATATTGCTTTTCCCACTGCCCTATGGAAGGAGAGGCTAAGCAGATAGAAATATTGTTTGACATTTTTAAGATGTGCCGAGTAATGATTGAGGGAGTGCAAGCAGACATATGCTGCAGGTTGAATTACACTGCTTACATCATAACTCCTCACTGACTGTGTTTACAGGCGAGCTACAGAGTATCCTGGTTGAGTGTTTTAGTTTAAGGCGAAGTCACACAATTTTGACACATTCATTTGTAGGGTTAGCCAATTACAAGAGCCAGAGGGTCCAAAACAGGGGGAGCTAGCATAGCTTATTTTAGCTGTGTTGAAGCATCCATAACCTCGCTAAGCAGAAGTACTCTAAAAAAGCTCTACAACAGTGGCAGGGTTTGCAGACAGTTATACGATATATGTATGCAGTGGTGTACAGTAACGAAGTAGAAATACTTTGTTACTGTACTTAAGTCGTTTTTTTGGATATCTGTACTTTACTTTACTATTTATATTTCTGTTGACTTTTACTTCACTACATTTTGCAAAGAAAACTGATACTTTTAATCTGATACATTTCCCCTGAAACCTTCGTTACTCGCTACAAAATCAAATCTATCTTTAGAAACAAAATGAATCATGAGACCAGCGTCTGGGACTGTGGTGGAACACAGACTGCAACAAGCAGGTTTGGCGAATCAGTGGTCCTAGCTTGCAAGTTAAATCATTAGTTAATCACGTTAATGCGCAATTGCAAACAAGTGCTCTCAAAGCCACGGTGTTTTGATTCCCAGTGATGCCCAGGATGCTATATGCCAGGGATTCCCAAAGTGTGGTGCGCGCACCCACAGCTGCCTCTAGGGGGTGCGCGAGAGGAAAAATGTAATGGTGGTCTAATGGTGCAGTCCTGTCTCCTAAAAATGACGTTCCCCCAAAACTAAAATGCATTCTCAATTACGTTTGACCATCAACGTATTTTCTCCCTGATTACGTTTGTGTTCGACGTATTACAAATACGTTTCTCATCAACATATCTTTGCCATACTCTAGTCTTTATTATTTTTCTGTGATCTGCCTCGCCTCGCCCGCCACTCGGAACCATAAAACGAAGTCCCGGATTTCACCCGGGGGACATTCTGGAGGTATTGTGGACGGGTGATGTGCCTCGTTGCTGGGGAGGTATGAGCCGAGAGTGGCGGGGTGTTATGGAGGTATATTTTATTTATTTGTATCCATCTAACCCTAACCATAACTTCCACTAGGAAGCCACGTCCCCACCCAAACCTAACCCTTAAGAGAGTCACGGTTACTCCCGGATTTTACACGCGGGCCTTTGTAGAGGTATTGTAGCCGCGTAATGTTCCTCGTTGCTCGGCCTGGATGAGCGCGTTTCTGCCGGAGACAGGCGGCGTGTTGTGGTGGTATTCTGACCGCGTAATAGGGAGAAGGAGAGGCGGTGGTGGTGGAGAGGGAAAAAAATGTTAGTGTTAAAATGTTGATTAGAAATGTATTTGTAATAAGTCAATGTAATAAGTCAAACACCATTTTTAGGAGACAGGGTTGCATGCATGCCGGGTGCAGTGAGGTTCTGGCTAACAGCTGTCTGAAGCCCTCTTATTTACGTCGCCACCTGAACATCAAGCATGCCAGTGCAAGTCAAAAGCCCCTTACATTTTTTATATCGAAATTGGAGGAGATACAAAACAGCCCAAAACAACTGCAGTCTCATTCATGTGTTGGGTCTACAAAACACGCACGAAGACATCCTGGCTACATTAGTCGGTCGCGTGAAGAAGAGTGAGTTGTACTCTCTGCAAGTCGACGAGTCTACACATGTGGCCAATCTGGCCAATCTTCTGGTGTACGTCCGTTACCTTTTCGAAGGCACGGTGCAGGAAGTTTATTTGTCTTTTTTGTGTTTTTTATCTTGTAAACAAACGTCACGCGCGAGCAAACTGTTCTCTCATTGGTCAGATTTTTATGCGGCTATAAATAGGCTCTGTTGCTTTTTTTTTAAGGTGTGGGGGATTCGGGGTGCGTGAACCTGGTCGGGATGTAGAAGGGGGTGTGTGGCCTAAAAAGTTTGGGAACCGCTGCTATATGCTATAGCTAGCGAGACTACATGAGCAGAATTCCACTCTACGATGACTGATTTCATGACGGAAGCAAAAATGGAAGCACCTGCTACTCCCGCAACAATCTACGGTGGTGACGAAGACCAACACCCGAGGATCGCTAGCGAGTTAGTGAGCTGAGGAAGTGTTGATAGTTGTGAGATGTTGTTGATTTGAGTCATCTTAGCTATAATCATTGCAGCACTAGTTAGCTAACGTTAGCTAACTTAACGTTAGCTAGCCACCACACCATAGGATTGACAGGAGCCGCGAGAGCGCAGCATTAGGGAAATCCTTCCCAAGCTGTGTGTGAAGCTGAACACACCTCTACCTGCCTCAGCGGCCTGTGAAAGGCTAGTTAGCATCGCAGGACTAGTCTTCAGCCCAAGAAGAGCGAGACGGAATTCTCGCAATTTTGAAAACCAACTTCTTTTGAAGATGAACAGGACATTTTTCAGTTTCAAGTAATGACTGGGTTGTTACTTTCGGTGCTGCTTTAGCATTGATCATGTTTTGATATTTGAGTCATTTTGTGGATGATCAGATGGAGTTATGATGGTAGCAGTCGCCCAATTGCAGATTCAGCTTGAGCAAAACCTTTGCCTGTTGTGTTCAAATCAGGCCCATAGGAGTTTACAAGGCAGGTGTCCTTTCTCACAACACTGACCTGATGCATCAAGTGGATATTTTTTGCTGAACACAATATTATGCATTTGCCCTCTACATCCTCTAGTCGGAATGAGCATACTTATAAACGCACTGTTACAACTCCTTCATAGTGTCATATTGCTTTTCGGAGAATTATGATGATAAGTTCATAGTAGATGCAAAAGTATACGTATGTACAATATATTATGTTGGACATTGTTGCTCCTGGATGGATCACAGCCAACCCAATTATGTTCAACACAGCTCCATGTCCTTGGTCATGGTGGCCACAGCACTTTAAAGAATAAACTTCATAATTCTCAAAATTCTGACCCTTTGCTTTTTTATTAACAGCATTTACTTGTACTTTTACTTTCAATACTTAAGTACATTTAATATCAGAAAAATTACTTTTGATACTTAAGTACAACAAATATCAGATACTTTAAGACTTTTACTCAAGTAGTATTCTAATAGGTGACTTTTACTTTTACTGGAGTAGTTTTCCAGTAAGGTATCTTTACTTAAGTATGGCTTTTGGGTACTTTATACACCACTGTATGTACAATATGTTGTACAAATACATGTCCTGAATAAACTGTGAACTTCTTGTCTGGTCAGCTTGGAGAGCTATTGTGATGTTCGATAGCATATTACCAGGCGACCCGCACATTAGCGCTAAACTCGCTCCTGGCATTAGTTCACCAACTAGTCCTGCCAGTTTTACTACATCACCGAGCTTCTGTCACCATCTATTTCACAAGCATGTTGAATTAACATCACTGGGCCACTTTCCGGTGTGACGAGGGGTTCATGAGCATGTCACCACATCAAGTTGTACTAGTTAGTAACACAAAACACATGATAAACAGTGCTATGATGACTACCTGGAAGAAAAAACAAACTGGGTTTGTCCAGTTTTGGTTTTGACATGAATCCAACACAGTAGACTCCCTGGGTAGTGTTAGAAACATGTACACAACAATATCAGGTTCCATGTTAACATCATATCCCGGATACGATAACGTACAGGATAAGACTCATGACCAAGCTAAGACACTTGACAGGGGTTCACCCTCCTCAGTGATGTACCAGTGATGATGGAACCTCATTAGGGCCAAATGAAACACAAAGGTAACAATGGTAAAATGGTGGAGTAAAATAGCTCGTCACTACTGCCTCAATACATTGTTGCTGGTTGTAACCTGGTAGACACTGTTGTGGTGTGAAGAAAAGCTACAGCCTGAAATTATTACCTGAAATAAGACAACCAGTGGCCAGACAAAATAGGTTCCATGCTCAGCACTGCTTAGTAAGAGTTACCACATGAGGCTCAGCAGAAAAGTAATCAAAGACACTCTTCATCAGCTCATAATGCCAATATGTGTACAAGTCCAATACAAGAGCAAAGGAAACCAGGCATGCTTTCAAAAAAGCTGGTAGAAACAGATGCCAAATGTCCTAAAGGTATGTTTGCAAGGGTGAAAAACCCTGTATACATTGGTAATGGAAGTAATGTAATGTCAAATATGTCCTGGTTAAGTTGGAGAACTGTTCACAGAACATTACTGGTGGTTATTTGGGCTCTTTGAGTGCCATCTGGTTGTTCTCGAGTGACAGTTGATGAAGATGGTCCTTTGTAAATTGCTGTATAAGTTGCAATACAGTTTTGTGTGAGATCTTCATTTTGTTTGTTTCAGAAAGCTAAGATGGAATACAAATCTGCTATTAGAAACATGCAAGTCATTAAACTGCATCCTTTATTGCCACTAATTCCGACTGAAAACACTTGTACAGATGTGGGTTAGGGGAGTAGCCTTGTCCTCCAGTTCCAGGGGATCCCAAAACATTCCCCGGCAAGAAAGGATTCATAGTCCCTCAACCTCTCTTCCCTGTGGTCTCCTATCAGTTGGATGCGATGTGAATACATCCACAGGGATGTGTGTAGTGTTGATCCTGATCAAGCCGAACCCCCTCAACTGACTCGTTTAAATGTGAAGGAGCGCCGAGCTCCCTTCAGATGCCTGATCACCCTATCTCTAAGGCTGAGCCCAGTCACCTCGCAACTTGTATCCTCATTCTTTTCCAAACCTCATGACCATAGGTGAGGATTGGATCGTAGATGGACCAGTAAATTGAGAGCCACTATGGCTGTGTGACTTCTGGTGGTGCACCTATCTTCCTGTTAATCTTGTACTGCAACCAACCCTAGCTTGTGAACAACACTCCAAGATACTTAAAAAGTCATACTCCTCATCCACTAAACACTTGCACACTGGGTTGGCAAACTTCATGAACCCTCATTGCATCCTTGCAAGAGAAAGATGTCAGTGGAGCTAACATCTTTAGCTTTAGACCTCTTTAGACCTCTTTAGCTAAAACTAAAGAGGTCTACTGTCCCTTGACATGGACAGAATCAGCGTTGCTCCTCTTGAATCTAAAGCTCAAATTGGCCATGTTTTTTTTTTGTCCATTGACAACAACAGTCTGGTCTTCTGGTCCAAACCCAGAACAACTTCTTGGAATTAAAAGAGTAATGGATCCATAACTAGCTCCAAGAAAAATATCCTTTTTTCTTTGTATTCCTCAGGTGTTCCTTTGTTTTGTGGCTGTGTGGAAGAATGGGTTAATAAAAATAAATGAATGTATATGTTGCCTCCATGACATGTTTTGTTGGTGCAATTTTTTATTTTTAATGAAGAAAATGAAAACGGTAATACAATGGGTTATTACCCTGAGAGTCCGGGGATCAACCACACAGAGTATGCCGATAAACATGGACCAAAAACGTTGAAATCAAACAAAAAACTGTCCAAGTGGAGCTTTAAGTTGTTGAGAAAAGCAAAAATAGCTAGGATGACTACGATAAGTCAGTTAACAGGTGAGGGGGAATATTATATTAAGGTCATTTTACAGTTTTCTACATTATGCATGCAAACCTTTAAAAGAAATCGCCATCTTCTCATATTACATTAAAACAAATGATATCTTCATGATCATCATACAGAATCATTTATTGTGCAGTTGGGAGCAGGGAGGAGTAATCACAGCCTCACTTGTGGGCTGGAAGCAGCAGTTTCGATGGGTAATAGTCAAATTTAATGGCCGTTTAATGTTAAGTATTTCTTTCATTCCCATCACCCCACATGTTAACAGCACGCGGTTCTAAGCGCTGACTGTGTTTATTACTGAACACATTTCACAGATCTTTACTGGTGGCAGGGCCTGTCTGATTAAGTCATGGCCATTAGCATCATCACCATTAGGCTCCTGATGGTGCAGGGAGTCAGCCTGCAGAGGTTTACGATACCCATGGGACCCTGCACCTCTGTCAGTGTGTAACTGTGTGGGTGTGTGTGTGTAGTGGGAATCAAAGCACGAAAGCGGCGGTGATAGATTAGCTGTTCAGATATAAAACACATCTGCGTGGAGATAACAGTGTCAGGGGATCTGCGCTTTCACAGGGAAAATTTATGACTTTGAATATCATTTGATGTAACATGAAGCTGAATTTAAGAGGGCCAGTATACAACTGTTGATTAAGGAGCATGCAATAAAGGCAAAATATGTTTGTCATACTGGAACCAAACTCAGTTTTGATTTACTGGAAGACCTGTGGGTCTAACTTAGTGTCAACTGTAAGTGCAAGTAATGGATTACAAAGAACAGTCAGGCCAGTTTACATCTTCTGGTGTGAATCCTGCTGCACCCACGGCCCTACATGGTCTATTAAAGAATCTAGACTCGATTAAAACCACTATCCTCTGATACAGTCACTATTGGGCGGAGATCAATAGCGTTTCATCAAATCTAAATCCAATATCAAACCCACTAACCAAATCTGAAATGTTCTCAAATCCGCTCTATGTTTAACATTCAACATTTTCAAGTAACTAGATAAAAATAACTAAAAGTCAAAGATCTGGAATCAGCTATTGTTAGCTGAGAAGGCACATTTTCAGTGGTGATCTAATTAATGTTCCCAACCGGAAGAGTACAACCTGAAAATGAGCAGCAGCAGATAAGAAATGTTGATTAAATGTATCCGACGCATTGAGATGAAATAACAGGTTTAGTCTACTTGCTGTTTCACCTCATATATTTGACAAGCTAGTTGATCCCAAAACTGGAGAGCTGGGTGCAAAACTATTGAGTTGATGAGCTTCAAGTACTGATTTGATGCATAAAAGTACACAGTACGGCGAAAACACATTGGTTGTGGAAATCATTGTGAATAGATTAAAAAAACGAGATAATACATTGAAAAACCATGCTCGATTCAACTTCATGACCTCAGCCCTGCCAGACGTTAAAAAAAAATTAGCGTTTAACATTTTGCAGAAATGGTTTATTAATCTGTTCACACTGTGACCAATCCCTCCATTGGTTTATTAATCTGTTCACACTGTGACCAATCCACCCCATTAGTTTATCAATCTGTTCACAATGTGACCAATCCGCTCCATTG